TAAATGGATGAGAAAAAGAGTAAAACCAGAGGACCATGACTACTGACACAAACTGCACAGAGAGGTGGAATGGAAACAGGAGAGACAATAAGGAAGGAAAAGATAAGTTTTCCAAACTTCAGGTAGTTCAGAATTACAATGAAGAAAAATGCCTTTCACTTCAGTGTACATTGGTTGTAACTAGGAATGGACTCAGGTGGTAAAAAGGTTGGAAAGCAGTGGGGGTATTCATTTTAAAAAAAAGTAAAATGAGAGAGGAGTAAGAAAACTCTTCAAAATATTTCAGAAAAACCTAACCTTTTAATGTCAGGTACTCTCACCATGCCCTTTACCTAGATAAAATTGAAATATTTTGTCTATAGGTTGATCCACTAAATTTAATATTCTTTAAAAAAAACCCCAGAAATTAATAATTAAAAAACACATTGTGTGCTTAGTAATAATTACAGTCGTACTGATGGAAAGCCCTATCCAAACATATTTGTTCTTCTAGCTAGGACTGCAGACTGAAACTGGCAGGATAGAAATGGGAAATAGGCATCTTCTTCGTGCAGAGAGGTGAGGTCTTGCCATTTTTTTAGCATCTGAAAGGTTTAAAAGAAAGTTAAAGCTACTTTGTTTTGGGTTTTGTTGGGGTTTTTTGTTTCCAAATGAATATTGCCTTTTTATGTACCAGGAAAAGACAGAATAAAGAGCTAAAAATACTGGGAAACTCCCACTATCTCTACTGGTATTTAATAATTTATAAGGTCTGAGCATTTAATAATGGGATATGTGACACACTGGAAAATGATTTCCATCCTGTGTCTGATCCATGTTTGTATTTATCAATGTCCATGGAGGTCTGTATTCCCCAGTGTGCATGGGGATGCCTGCTTCCCTGGTTTCCAGGGACAACAAACAGGGATTACACACAAGAACTGGGATTCAAATACTTCTCCCCTTGTGTCACAAGAGAGACATCCAGATTTGAAATAAAAAGAAAGAATGAATAGAGCCAAAAATGGAAAAAAAAAAAAAAATTAAAGACAAGGGAATTCAAGGAAGATTTTAAAAACGTATTAGCTCCTGGCTAATTTGATGCATGCTAAATTCAAAAGTCTTGCTTTCTTTATTCCAAATTCTTCTGTCATGGCTTGATTATTTTACAGGTGCCAGATAAGCAGATTTGCATAGCAGTGGTATTATCTGGTTTTGATGTGTTTTACCCACCATACTGCCAAAGGCCAATGATTTGCAGCTGAGGCTGAAAATAAAATTTGATTCTGCCTGCAACATGGCTGCGAGGAAGGGAGCAATGAGGTGTGCTCTTGTTTATACAAGGAAGATAAGAAAAACTGCTTTGATTTGACAGCTGTGCTGGATACTGATACCAGTGTGCTCAAGGAAGAATGCACTCCCTGCGAGCACTTTAAATTCAGAATTTCAGACGCACAACTTGGTAATAAAAAAATAAGCAACAGCAGAATGTTTTATTACTTGGTCTGGCACTCGTCCTTCTCATGCTACCAATATTTTCCCTCAGCTGGGCAACCATAAAACTGGTTCACAAAGATCACCCAAATCTGTCTCCTCCTACATGTGAGAACTCAGGAGGGTTTTCTGCATCCTGGAGCCCTGGATAAGAAACGGAATGAAGGATAATGAAAATGAGTGGTAGGAAGAAGAATAATAATGGAAAACAGTGACAAAGAACACATATAGGGACTGAGGAGAGGAATGACAAAAAGCAGACAGTGAAATATGGCAGGATATAGTTTCCACTGCAATAATCCTACTGGGGGATGACAATATGCTTAAGTGTATTAGCCTTAATTGTAACTAACACAAAGCATTTCAGAAAATTACTTACTGTCATTGTTTCCTTCCCTGCTGAGGGCTGGCAACTTGTTTTCTTGGCCCCTACTGTAATTTCTTTTATCTGACTCATATTTGAAGCTAAAGAACTCTACCTGGGGAGGCACTTTGTGCCCACTGCACCTCCACTTCATCTCCATCATCAGAAGAAAAGCTCCCAATTATATTTCCCTCCTTACCTCTGGTGTCGTGAACCAAAGACTTTTGACATGGTCAGATTTAGACACACACTTACACACTTCATACCCTCAATCTATAATAAGGGCTTGAAAATTTACTAAGTGAGGTGTGACTGCCCTCAGGAGTCACAACCTTATTGACCAGCATCGACCAGGGAGAAGAAAAGCCATTTAAGGCCACGACGAATCCGTGAGAGGTGCCCGGGCAAGATCATCCCCTCACATGTTATTATGGGTGACCAGAGTGGAAACACGAGGGTTCACAACCAACTGCTCAAGACGTGGGCAAGATTTAGCATCTTGGCTTGCCTTCCTACAGCCTCTGTGAGGAGAGGAGCTGCTGCATCTCCCTGGCTGTTTTGGAAAGCTGGAGAGGAGCTGGCAGCCCCAGGGAGAGGCACAGCGCCTGTCCTGGCTGGCAATTCCTCTGAGCAGGCAGTGGGGCTATCACACCGTATTAGACATTAGATATATAACCCATGATGGTGCAAAAGAAGAATATTCACGACTTTTAGTCAGTTCTTGGTTAGTAAGATGGTTGTGCTATGCATAATAGCAGACCAGATGTTTATCCTGAGGAGCTATCATCCAGCACTTGCACAGATCTCATCTAAAATCCAAGAAGGACCATCCATTATAGCAAATGGGGAATTAACATCAGTTAATGGATATTGAAAGTTTCCTCTTCTGGTGTGCCTGACCGTATTTTTAAATGGAATTTCGAAGTGGGACATGATGGCAGTATAAGATTTAAAAACTGTATAAAAAGCCAAAAATCAAACACTACCTGTAAGGTGAAGGGTTAGAGGAACCCTTGAGGATCATTTGAAAGCAAAAATATAAAGATTTTTTTGGTGTTACTGAAAGGTAAGAATTGTCACACAGAAAAGGTACGAATTGACTGGAAAAACAACTGGAAGATGTGGCAAAAGCATTTGCAGGCATGTCTGTAAAGAATATGCCTTAGAAAGTATCTGAGGTTGTTCACACTCAACTTTTTTGTGAAGTTTCTCAGGGCCATGTTACACTCAGCACTATGATCAGGGGAAACATACTTTAATTAGCTTTGATTTTTGTGATGTAACATATTCAAGATGATGGATTCAGAGTCTGGAGCAGGAGATCCTCTCTTCATCTTCTGTAAGAAAAATACAAACCTGCTCTCCTGTCAATGCCAAATCCATCCAAGCACCCACAGCAGTCAGTTCCGAGTAGTATTGCTCACTTTGATGCAGAAACATCACATATAAATGTTGCTTTATAGAAGTAAGTGAAATTGGAATGAAAAAAATGCCTGGATTGTTTCAGTCTGAGAAGTCACCAGAGCAGAACAGGGAAGAGGACAAAAGTTTCCATTAAAAAAAAAAAAAAAAAAAAAAAGGTGTTAATTTTGAGTGAACAGAAAGAAGACAGCAAGGGAAAAAAAAAATGGTATCCACACACAGCCACTACAAGGCAAACATTAGCAAATCCAAACCCTGAAAATTTCAGTGGGATAAGACCATTAACATAGAGATTGCCATTGCTGTCACCTCAACTTGCATTACACCTATCAAAAAAAGCCTAACCTGAAATTCCTGTGCAGAGCCTACAACTCTGTCTCAGGGTTAAAATACACTCAAGTGGTGGAAAATCCATCTCATGCTCAGGTAAGCTGCTCTGGAGGTCAGTCACAGCGGTAAAGTCTTTTCCCATACCTTCAGAGAGAGACTCATTGTCACAAATTTCCTTATCTTCCATGCTAGGAGGGATTTCATACTTTGGTCTTATTTGTTTGTTTTAGTTGTTTGTTTGTTTATTTGTTTTTTTCCCCCTAGATTAAAAAGGGATCATCTATCAGAAATCTTTTCACTGTTTAAGCTGTGTTCACCTCCTACCCTCTTTTTTTTTTTTTTTTTTTTTTTTTTTTTTTTTTTTTTTTTTTTTTTTTTTTTTTTTTTTTTTTTTTTTTTTTTTTTTTTTTTCCTCAGAGAAGGAGGTGATAAAGTGAATAGCTTAAGTGCTAAGCTGCTTAAGAGTTTCTAAACCCCTTAGGGCAGGGAAGGTTTTCTGAAAACTGAATTCTCTTGCAGTTTTTTTCTGACTACCCTCCGAATTTTCACACACTTCCTGAAATACAGATGACAAAGGCAGGCGCAGCGTTTCATTAACTGCTTCCCTTACACTTTTTACAGAGGAAACAGGACTACCTGGTCTGTACAGTCTTGCAGTAAACAAATTGACCTGCTTCTCAGAGGATTTAATGTGACTGCCAGCTAATCAGGTGACCCCTTCTACTGAGTTTAGTCACTTCTTGTAGCTCTCACTCATTTGGGCTTGGATAATTAGTGTGAACTTCGGGCCAAGTACAGACAAGATATTCAATCCTAACCCCACCTCCCTTGAAAAGGAACCTGTAAATTCAAGAATACCCTGAAAGAAGAGTTTTGTCCTCTATTCTGCTGAGTGCCAGAGAGCCCAGAGTTAGGACCCTGGGAAGGCAGTTTGCTGTCTCAGGTCGCGAAAAAAAACGTGGTTATAGGACCATCAGGATCATGAGGCCACCATGGAATGTTTCAGAAAGGCATTTTGAAGAATTAGTCCTTTAAGAGTCGCTGGATGAGGGTTTGCTGTATCGATACAGAGCATTGTCACAGTGTTTGAGACAGGATGCTAAAAAATCACTGCTCCTACGTGTGGAATAGTATGGCATACATTTGAGCAAGCACTGAATAAACATCATCACTTATTTGTAGAAGGCACAAACTCCACAGGATAGACCTGCTGCAGCAGTGAGGGAACAAAAGCATGTAAAAAATGAAGATGTGCTAAAGAGGAAAGAAAGAGAGCAGCAGTTGCTGGAAAAAAACAAATAAACAAAACCAAACTAAGAGCCAAAACAAACCCTCTCCATAACCTCCCCCTTCCCCCAAAAACCCAAACCCAAACCAACCAATCAACCAAAAAAACCCCTCATTTATCAACATATTTTTAGATGATTTCTTTACCAGAGTGAATGATCATGTGGGGCAATTATAGCTGCCCATTAGCCCACACTCCACCCAAGGCTGTTGAGACACACAATTCCCCACTCACTTACACGTTCAGAGGTTGCCAGGCCGGCCACTGTGCTTTGGCTTTGATGACGGTCAAAACCTCATCGCTCTGTTAAAAGAGGCAAAACAAATACACAGTGATTGGGACGATTTTACCACGGGAGTGATGCGTCTTACAGAAAAAAAAAAACAACAAACCCAAACAAAAGAAACCCCAAAACCCAACTACGAGGCACTATATCAAACTGTGCCTCCCGATTCTGACTATGAAAAATACGCTTTGTCCTTTTTGTTATCTGGGCACCTTTGTGCCCTCAGCTGCACAGGGTCCATCAAGGAGCCTCGATGAATGCAGGAGGCAAGAGCAGCAAGCAAAGGCAGTCAGACTTTGGGCACAGTTTCTTTACCTTCTGCAGGAACTGGAGTGAGCTTACAACAACGACATCAGTTTGCAGACAATGGCTGTTTTTGCATCATGAGCCAAGAGAAAGCTTTCACCAGGAATTCACCAGGTAAAAAAAACCAAAAAACCAAACCAAACAAAAACACCACAAAACCAAAAACAAAAACCTACAAAAAAACCAAACCAAAACAAACCACAAAAAACCCAACAACAACAAAACCCCAAAAAAACCCAAAACAACAACAAAAAAAAAAGATAGAAAAATTGCTCTTAATACATTACAGATCTACAGACTAAAGTTAGAGGCAGCTCCTCCAGGCAATCTAACACATCCTGTGAGCATGTATGAT